CACCACATGTTCTCACTCATGTGGGTGTTGAACAATGAGAACACGTGGACACAGGGAGAGGAGCATCACACAGTGGGGGCTGTTGGGAAGGCCAGGGGAGGGACAGTGGGGCAGTGGGGAGGGAGGGGAGGAATAAAATGGGGAGAAATCCTGGATATAGTCAAAGGGGGAATAGAGGCAGCAAACCACCCGGTTATGTATGCAGCTATGCAACAACCCTGCATGACCTGCACATGTACCCCAGAACCTAAAGTAAAATTTTTTTAAAAATTCCTCAATTCTTCAAAAAAAAAAAAAAAAAGAGAGAGAGAGAGAAAATCATGTCACATATCACCCAATCCTAGAATTCAGCCTCTACAAAGCTTCTGTGTTTAGCCCATTGGACAATTAATCAGTTTCAGAACGACTTGTACTGCTCTGATAAGGGTAATAATAAGACAAATATGACCGTCTGGGGAGGAGGGGGCATGGAAAGAAGGGAGAAAGAGATTGAAATAGCCTCAGCTTTGCAGAGGGAAGGTAAACACTGAAGGTATGTTGTGCTATTTTCCTGGCTGGGGGAAGAAAGCAGTTTTAGATTCGACAAATAGATTTTTTAAGATCTTACTATGTGCCAGGCTTTGGACTGGGTTATAGGAATATAGTGGTGAGAGATAGACGCCATCAGTTTCTTCACAGAGCAGAGAGCTCATGAGGCAAGATGGGCGTTTAGGAGTCACACGTGTGCTGTGACAAGCAGTGTGCAGGAGGAGCAAGAGCAGGAGGCTTGCCCGCAGTGAGTGGAGTGAGTCCCGGGAAACCACGCAGAGACCCGCAAGAACACTTGGTACTAAAGGGAAATAGAAAGATTATTACCACCAAGAGGGAGGTGAACATAGGACTGCCCAGTAAAAATAAAAAAGAGTGTGGTCCTTTTTGGAACTGGATTACTGGAGCCCAGAGTGCAGGGAAGACATGGATGGCTGTTAAGTGGCCCAGCTGTAAAGAGAGAAATCTGGTTTAGATGCAAATGACTCAGGTGCATTGACGCTAGAGCTTTTCAATCTATCCCAGAGTTTCAGATTTCAAAGAAAAAAGTCTGTGAGGCAAACCGTAAAAGGAGAAAAACGTATCTCTCTAGGGAATCGCTCAAAGATGAGTAAAGAAACGAGTTTTTGTAATCCCAGCACTTTGGGAGGCTGAGGCGGGTGGATCACGAGGTCAAGAGATCGAGACCATCCTGGTCCACATGGTGAAACCCCGTCTCTACTAAAAATGCAAAAAATTAGCTGGGCATGGTGGCGCGTGCCTGTAGTCCCAGCTACTCAGGAGGCTGAGGCAGGAGAATTGCCTGAACCCAGGGGGCGGAGGTTGCGGTGAGCCGAGATCGCGCCATTGCACTCCAGCCTGGGTAACAAGAGCGAAACTCCATCTAAAAAAAAAAAAAAAAAAAGAAATGAGTTTTAAAGTTCTTTATAATCTACAAAGAATAAAAGCAGATCATTTCCAAAGTTTGAGTTGATGATAGGCTTTTTTAGTAACTCTCCATCAAAGGTATGCCACGCTGAAAGAACATAGCTCTGCCCATCCTAATCCTAATTATCTTAAATTTCAGGAACTGTTGGATGCAATAATTCTAGGAAGCTTTTTCAAATAAGACTTGGTAATGGTGGAACTAGAAGTTCGAAAGCTGGTTAAGACAATTGGCAACTGCTACTTCTTCCGAATGACCCCTTAGATAATTGTGAGTTAACCGTATCTTAAAAGTGCATACCTTTTGCATATTAATATATAAATGTCCCAGATCCTAGATAGTGTCATTTAAAAAGTAAAAACTGTGACTATCAAAATTGCCTTATAATTGTGAGCTACCAGAAAGTGTGAACAAACCGCATGATTTCTCCTACAGATTCTGACATGATATTAAACACTTAATGATTATTTTCCAGAATGATAATACAATAAGGTGATAAAATCACAACAAACCTAAACCACAGCCACTCAAAATGAGCTGCTTTCAGCAAATAATAACAAGTGTGAAAGGAGTCAGCAAACTTTGAGAAGCTGGGTAATAACATCATTAGCAACTAATATTGACAATTGGCAATTTCAAAATTTAGCCATCAGAAGTGTATTTGCAGGTCTTCAACAAGGCAGAAACTGGCTCAACAAATATCCAACAGAACAACAAACTGCTTTATCAAGATTTTCTTTTTTCTTTTTTTTTTTCTGAGACAGAGTCTTGCTCCGTCAGCCAGGCTGGAGTGCAGGGGTGCAATCTCAACTCACTGCAACCTCTGCCTCCCAGGTTCAAGCCATTATCATGCCTCAGCCACCACACTATAGCTGGGATTACAGGCGTGTGCCACCATGCCCAGTTAATTTTTATATTTCTGGAGGAGACGGGGTTTTCTCATGTTGGCCAGGCTGGTCTGGAACTCCTGACCTCAGGTAATCCACCCACCTCACCCTCCCAAAGTACGGAGATTACAGGCAGGAGCCACCACACTTGGCCAAGTTTTTCACATAATATATTTTAAAAGAGATTATATCTTTTGTCAATGAAATCAGACAGATCCACAGGTCTCAAATCCAAAATCCCATCAAAATCCCCAAGAAACTCATTTCACATGTAAATTCTAAAACCTCAGTTGAAGGTGGTACTTACTTCTCTCATCAATTTATATGTCTTCCTGATGGAATACACACAGATTAAAACAGACATACACACACACACACACACACACACGGAAAACAGTCAAACAGTACAAAAAGGTATGTATTCCAATAGCAGTCTAGAAACCTTATCATTACAATATGGACAGGCACACACTGAGAAAGTAACGAAGTCCTCTTATGGGTCTTCCCATGGGAATCCCAGAAAAACTGTGTTCAGAGTCAACAAATACAAGGGCAGAGGTGGACTCAGGATCGTCATGAAGAGACCCCATTCCCCCATGTGCTCCTCCTTTTCTGTGTTAATTGAACAGCGTCAATAGCGTCTGACACCAGCCCTAAATGTTTCTCCGTAAAGAAAATTATCTTCTGTCTGAGAAGGGCTTATAGAACCTGAGAGAAATGAAGGGCAGAGTCTGAGGCAAAATCATGCTCCAGTTCCAAGGTGAAGCCTTCCTTGACTTGGTGAGTTTGGAATTTCATCTGGAGGAACGGAGCATGCAGGCCAGTATTTGAGCTCTTGCAACCACTATAAAGAAGGACAACAATCCACACACCGAACACTACCTTAGAGAGAATTCATGGAACAGACACATCAAGAATTTAAAAATTCTAAGACCTCAGTCGAAGATGGTACTTACTTCTCTCATCAATTCATATGTCTTCCTGATGGAATACACACAGATTAAAACAGACACACACACACACACACACGTCTGCCTTTGTATCCTCAAAGGCAGATACGAAGATAGTGGTAATATAAAGCAGAAGTCAAAGACCATTTGGGAAAATAATTGTTATGAGAACATGTAATAATTCACAGAATTCATTGGTGGGGAAAGTAACAGCACTAGGGATGAAATAGAGAGCTGGAAAACTGATGGAGAAATGGTCCCGGGATTCAGTAGGACAGAATCTAGTACATACCAGAGAACGAAGCTCACACACATGGCATGTAGAAATAGATTTGCTGCACCAAGATAACAGAAACTTGAAACGGAGAGAAAAAAAATAAAGGAATAATCATAATAGCTTTTCCCAGAATTAAAAATAAAGTTTCAGATTTCAAGAATCCTTGAATTCTAAGCAGGATAGATAAGGAAGGCTCACACCAAGATATCAGAGTGAAACTTAAGAACAAGGATTTAAAAGATATGAAGTAATCCAGAGAAAAGTTAGATGGATGAATAGATAGATACATAGACAGGAGAGAGAGAGAGAGAGAGATGATAGACAGATAGATGATAGATTAGATAGATAGATAGATAGATAGATAGATAGATAGATAGACAGAGAGACAAGATAGGTAGGTAGGTAGGTAGGTAGGTAGGTAGGTAGATGATAGACAGAGAAGATAGCTAGGTAGGTAGGTAGAGAGAGAGATAGACAGATAGATGATAGATAGATAGATAGATAGATAGATAGATAGATAGATAGATAGATAGACATTATAGGTAAGTAGGTAGATAGATAGATAGATAGACAGACAGAGAGACAAGATAGGTAGGTAGGTAGGTAGGTAGGTAGGTAGGTAGACAGACATGATAGGTAGGTAGGTAGATAGATGATAGACAGAGAAGATAGCTAGGTAGGTAGGTAGAGAGAGAGATAGATAGATAGATAGATAGATAGATAGATAGATAGATAGATAGATAGATAGATAGATAGACAAGATAGGTAGGTAGGCAGATAGGTAGGTAGGTAGGTAGGTAGGTAGGTAGGTAGATAGATAGATAGATAGATAGATAGATAGATAGATAGAGCTGTAAAGACAGACAGCAGATACACAGATAGATTTACATACACATACAGACAGCCCCTGACTTTCATGGTTCACCTTAAGATTTTTCAACTTATGATGGTGTAAAATCCATAGGCATTAAGTAAAAAGTGTACTTCCGATTTTGAATTAGATCTTTTCCCAAGCTAGCCACATGCGGTACAAAACTGTCTCCAGATGCTGGGTGACAGCAGTGGACCCAGCTCCCAGGCAGCCACAGGATCATGAGGGTAAACGACTGCTGCTCTACAGTTTACTCTGCTGCCAGATAACTGTGCCCACCAGCAGGCTGATGTAGATGTTCTGAGCACGTTCAAGGCACATTAGGCCAAGCTGTGATGTTCGGTAACGAAGGCGTATTAAATGCACTTTGGACCTATTTTCAACGTAGACTTTTTTCAACTCACGATGAGCTTATAGGGAGATACGTCCACCTTAAATTGATGAGCATCTGTAGTTAGACAAGAATAGAAAACTGCTTGACATTAGCCTGCCAGTGGCTACACTACATGCAAGAAGGTAATAACATGGTATTATCAAAAAATTACAGGAGAAAAATAATTACCACAGCGACTCTGAAGCTCTGTTTGGAGTAACAGTAAGGAAACCTCTTCCCAGTCACAGCACTGCTCTCTTCAGCCCACATTCAACCCCTTGTCAAGTCTCATGATCTGGCCTCAGGAAGTCTCTTGAATATAATTCCCCTTGTTGGATTTCCAGTGCTCAGACTCTATTTTACGGCCAGAAAACAGCTCCTGCAAACAATCAGTTGCAAGGATCTCCTAGCTCATTCCCTTGCACCCAGCCTCACAACCTCTAAGTTGCTTTCAAAATTGTCTTTCTTTCAAAGCATTCTTACGATCCTCCAGCATACTAATCACTCCCTCCACGCAACAGACACAGGGGAAGGGGCCTCCCTGGCCCACCCAGCAGCCCTCTATTTCTCCCTTTCTTATTCTCCCAGTAGGCTTTCTGATTCTGGGCTAACATCGAGTGCAATTGACTTTGTATTATAATCATTTGTTTAAATATATGACTCCCAACTAGATTGGGAACCTCAAATGAGCACTAAGCTTAATTCCCTTTCAGCTTCACTAAAGTGAATGGATTCTCTTCATATTTCAGCTTAGCCGGTGCTGAGCACATGTATACAAATGTTTTTAAATGTCAACATATCTAAGAAAGATACCAGGAATTTCCCCATTCAGGGTATCTATCTCCATTAAGTCCTGTGCAAAGATAACAGCATTTCTGTAATAAACACGGCCCCGTGCCTTTGAAAAAGAAAGACCTGCTAGGGTGGTCACTCATTTGCATGCAGGGGATGTGAGAACATGGCAAAGGAGACGCTGTAAATCACCCCAGAGCTGGGAGACAGGGCCTCTTGGAACGCCTGGCTCAGAATTATTAATTAAAGCTTCCTCAAGGATGTTCTGTTTGCACATCAGTTGATCTAAGCCACACTGGTATCCCTGTAAATAATAAGACGGCCCGATTAGGCCTAGCCATTAATTAAGTGTCTTTGCTGTGAATAAACAGTGAGATCTTTCAGTCTGAGAGGGCCTACGGCACAGTGATAAATGTGCAGCTGTTGACACTCCTGTAACACAGGCTGACATCTTCATCAGTTCACGGGAGCTCCCTCCCCAGGGACACAAGGCGCGTGTCATGGGAAGATGACACCTTCTGCCACACTTAGCCCCTAAAGTTATGTCATATGCAGGTTTGCAAATAATCAGAACTGGGAACAAACAAAAGGGAAAATTGTTCAAGCCCTTAACTGTGACCCTCAACTGTCACATTTAATTGACTGAGACACTGGTGTGTTTTGGGTACACAAATTTGGATAACAATAATATAGTGCTTTTACTTTTATGAGAATGTACAAGTCTTTTATTTTAAAAAATGATTTGGGGTCCAATTGCAGACTCTTCCAAAACTGCAGGCTGTTTTCTAAGTTCAAGAAGAAAGTTTCAGCAAATGCCCTCGAACTAATGAAGACAGGAGCTAGTATGTAGTATGTTTATACCATTTGAAAAATAGTTCTCTCTGCGTCAAGCACTGAGCTCCCTTTTATTTTGCTGCCTATAGAAGGGCTTTGTAAACTGTAAAATATACACAAAATGGAAAGAACTGATTTTTTATCGCAATTTCCCCATGAAGCTCCATTGCTGATAGGGGTTAAGTTACAGTATCGGTGAATCAAGTTAACCTTCTAGAACCTAGAATTCTCAAATTCCTCCAACACTCACCCCTATTCCAACATTTTACAGGAAGTTATTAGCAAGAATAGCAGGATAAAGGAGAAGCACCACTGTATTCATCACTACAAAACTCCAGAACAAATTCACTGACAGCTATTGTTAGGAGATTTGACTTCCTCCCAAGGAAGATCGTTGCCTTCTGTTGCCTTCTGCTCTATCCCTAGAGCCCAGATCTCACAGTTTCTAGTTCGGGGTCTGGACAGACTTTGCAGAGAAAAGTGGGAGGTGCAAAGACTTCTCACCCTGATGTTTAGGATGAAAGAGATGAAGGGAAGAGAGGACAGCGGGCCATCCAGGCATCAGGGGTTTGTTCACCAAACAGGTGAAGAAGAGGAAGTCCAAGCACTAGTGAACCGAGCTTCTGGGACTCTTGCCAGCCTTGTCTTGGCACAGCCTGCATCTGAGATTCTGCCCCATCAGATGAGCCACTTGTCCTCGGAGAGGTGACTGTGGTGGGTGGGTAAGGCTAGACTGATAGGATCAACCTCGCATTGGAGTTTCTTGCGTTCATCTTTTCTGTCCCCCACCAGATTTGAGTTCCTTGAAAACAAGCCACACATCCCTTCATCTCTGCACCCCTTCCAGAGCCTTGCACAGTCTTCACTTCCATCACATTCAAGTGCATGCTGCATTCAGGAAGGAACTGGGAATGGACGGGTAGCGGGCTGTGAATATGGCCACACTCGGTAGATCGCTGGTCACACGACAGTGGAAGGGGATTTTCTCAGAGCCACCAAAACCAATATTCCAGGCTCCCCTAACATAATGTAACTGAGAATCCTTGGTTCTAATCTGAGGCACCTGATATGTAAAGGAGAGAGCATGGAATGGAGGTCCTGGAGACTGTATTTATCATTCAACAGGGCGGGAACTTGGGAGAAGACACTGGTGTCTAGAAGAGTTCAGGCCAGTGAATGAAGCCCCATCATGAGCCTGGAACTTAGCTAGTCCTGGCTGAAAATGCAACCACAGCAGACACTTCTGCCTCTCAAGGGGCATAGGGTTCAGCGGGGGAGAGATGTATATGCTACGCTTGTGAGACAAGATCACAAGTGTGAGAAGCCATGTCTGCTCATTTCTGCTTGTCAAGATAATTTCACACAGCCCCTAACTCTGTGAAGCCATGTGCTTGTTTGGGAAGATGCTTTGAAGACAAATGAGGATGGAACACATGGACCCCACACTTCTTGCCTGAGTCTCTACACTCTTTAAAAGATGCATGACCCTAGCCTTGTCTTTTCCTACACAGAAGATAACGTTTGACAGGGTTAGTGACTGTGGGAGATGGGAAAGTTCTTCTTCAAAGTTTATATCTTAGACTGTATTATAAGGAGTTACAATCTCTCACTCTAGGGCCATTACCCGCTATGAGCATAAACATATACCCATGTATATGCATCCCTACATCAGCTACGTCTTAAATCAGCCACCTTGACTTGCTCCGGCATGTCTGAACAGTACTGGGCAAAATCCCAACCCTGCTGCCTGCCATTCCTTATCTGGAAACTCTCCTGACCTCCTTCTGACTAGCTTCCTCTTCTTCCCTGTCTTCTCCCTCATCTTCTTTCCCCTTATCTATTCAGAAAATTTCCCTTATCCATTCAGAAAATTTAGCCAATCGGGCCAAGCATAGAATGTGAGGTCCCATTCTGGCCAATGGAAACTGGACTCAGCAGTAGGACGATTGCGTCAGGTATGAAAGTTATAAATGTCCCTTCTCCCTTGTTCAGGTGTGTGCTCATGGCAGGACTGCTGGCAAGTTGCATCCTTCCTGCAGGAAGTAGACTAGCCTTGCTAAGCAACCTTTTGTCTCGGTGTGGACTTTTCCTGACGTTATAAACCTGTTTCCGACAGTGACTATGCCTCTGTAACCCATAACTAAATATATTTTAGTCATCTGTAACCAGATATCCTCCTGTACGCCGACTTCCATGTGACTTTTCACATACTGAACCTCCCCCAGCCATCCATAAACAGTGAGCTGAAACACCACGTTGGAGCCTCTCATGGAACCACTCCCGGGCTATAGGCCTCCACCTACAGTCCTCGGTAAGGCTTCTGAAAAAAACTAACTTCAATTCTTTAAAAGTTTGATTTTTTGTTCTTTAGTTGCCACATAACAATCCAAAGATTCGTTGCAAAACATAGGCTGGGAGAATGGCCGGGCGCAGTGGCTCAAGCCTGTAATCCCAGCACTTTGGGAGGCTGAGGCGGGTGGATCACGAGGTCAACAGATTGAGACCATCCTGGTCAACATGGTGAAACCCCGTCTCTACTAAAAATACAAAAAATTAGCCGGGCATGGTGGCGCGTGCCTGTAATCCCAGCTACTCAGGAGGCTGAGGCAGGAGAATTGCCTGAACCCAGGGGGCGGAGGTTGCAGTGAGCCGAGATTGTGTCATTGCACTCTAGCCTGGGTAACAAGAGTGAAACTCCGTCTCAAAAAAAAAAAAAAAAAATAGGCTGGGAGGGTGAGGAGTGGGGCCATCGCTTTTTTTAACTGAAGTGATCTGAATACATGTTTATGGAGTTAGTAGCTGAATTTAAGGATTCTGGGACATTAAGAAGAGAGGTGGAATTCTAATTTGAGTGAGAAGCAATATAAATAACAGACAGAATGTGAACGTCACACTAGGGGAAGAGAGAAGGAGAAGAAAAAATAAGATCAGTCTCCTCTAGTGCAGAGTAAAGGATCAGAGAGAGTGTAAAGAAGGGTACACCGAGGTCAGACCGTAGACAGCCCCTGATGCCAGGTGAAGTCGCTTCCAAGTATACATGAACAATGGAGTGATGGGATGAGAATCAGCCTCAGTGTAAAACGAAGCAGGGGGAGAAGGACGGGTGTCAGGACATGGTTACGAAGCCACTGCAATAACCCAATGTGAGTCCATCGAGGCAAGAACCAAGTTCATGCCATGGGCTGAGAGGACATGATGAAGTAAGAGACCTTGAGAAGAAAGAACCCAAAGCAGGAGGAGCAAGGAGTGAAGCCTGAACAGAAGTCTCAGGTCCGTGGGCCAGGCAGGCAGGCTCAGGGCGAGCGGACACCCTCATGCTCTCACAGGGCTGAGGCATCGATCCAGGTGCATCCACATGCCCGGTCCTGGGTCCTTTCCCTGAACCTCTTCATTTGGTAGGCTTGGAATATATATTTTAGCAAACATTCCAAAGGCAAACAACCCACTACAAAGGGGTTGTGGAGACCAAGCCTCCAAGAAGCAGGCTTCAGAAAGAATGGTCCTTGGATCACTCTTCACTCTGGAGTGTTCTGGAGAAATTTTGGCTTAAATTGTGAGTCAGAGGAAAATATATTATTGTATCCTCAAAGATCCCAAAGACTCTCTGGTTGACACACCCAGAACCCCCAGGCAGGGACTTGTACTTCAGACTTTTCCATCTCTTCCATCCCAAGCAAATGTCCCCACATCCGTCTTGAGCTGGACCTTCCTTGGCTTGGTTTCAAAGTGACGACCCAGAAGCCAATCTCTTCCAGCCAGCATTGATGTTGGTGTCCCTTATAAAGAACCTCACCTGTTTGTCATGTCTCTTTTCTCTTCATGTCACGTTGAGTTGTCCTTATCTTAGTAGACAAGAAAA